AGCAAACGACTTGGGGACGGACGAGAGGCACTGCGAGGCACCCGAGCGGCACGTTTTGGTTTTCGAGTTGGGGGTGTCGGCGGCGACGCAGCAGATCCAGCCCTTGGACACACATTTGTCCGTGGCCGAGTTGCACACTTGCCAGTCCGGCACCGACTTGGCCATCGTCGCAAGCGGCAAGAGCGCGAGCAAAGCAAGAATCGACTTCATGTGAGTTGTTGCTGGTAAATGCAAATATGACCACGTCCAAGATGCGTTTAGCGAGCCCAGTCCAGCTGGTCTTGTCCTGAGCCAGACATACCCAGACGCGACAAGCTGTTTTGCGTGCAACGCGTTCGGTGACGTACCGGTTGCTGCGGTAATGCATTCTGCGCATGCGCGTGGTATGTACGCTATGCGTCTTTACAGTGGTAGTCCTCGCCTGTTACTACACGTCGTCCATCCAAGTACCAGATTGCGGACGAGACAAATACCATAAATATGAGCATAGGGAGCTCAAATGGGGTCGGTCAAATGGTGCGTGACATACGCTTAGTACAAGACCACATCTAAGAAAGAACCGCATCTCGTCTTCACGTAGCGCTGATGGCCGCACAATCTGAGGAGGCTAACATCTGAAACGGCTGTGAGACACAACTCTGGATCATGGCTCTGCGTTGTAGAACCTAATAAACCAGTGCGCCCATTTTTCTTCATGAGCACCTGTGGCGCACGGTAGCTTGTGCAATATAGATTCCGCTCTGTCTGATGGAGTGGGCCAGCGCCAATGGAAAGACAGCGAGGATCTCATTTTGGATTTGAACCCACAGTTCATGCGCGTCAAGCACGAAACCTCTGTCGAAACAGAAGGTGGCACAGTGGGCATGCCGGCACAACCAACGTTCGATTCAAACGATTTGTTGATTGAGCCTGAGCACACCTTTACAGGACGGGATCCGCCTGAGGGACTGTACATGGAGACCAATAGGTGCGTCAGCTGCGTAGTGAGTGCACCTGGCAGCGCGACAGTAGGTGAAGGGACTGGACCTAGATATAACGCCTGCTTTGGGATTGCTTCTCGTGGAACGCGTGAAGCTGTGCTTGGACCATGGCCGAGCCAGTGCGCCATCTTGAACCATTTTGCCGAACTGCGAATATACCAAAGATGGCGGCGCAGCGACACGCCTATTTGGCAAGGCCAGGCTCATTTGCGATTTGCTCATCAAGCTCGAAGCCTCAAATCCATTCGCCGACTGCTCACTACTCGGCTAACCTGCATCTTGGGCGGTGGCGGCCCGTAACCTTGCTCGTTTCCTCACGCAGTTGCGTTTATATCCTCAGGGACAAAAAACAATGTTATCTGTAAAAGCTCTCGCATTCACGTTAGAAGAGGTAGAATATAGAGGTAAAGACAAAGCCGCTTACACGTGGCAGCTCGTCTTGGGCGTCGCGCCAATGCGGAGGATGGGCTTGCCGCAGAGGCTGTACTGGTAGCCAGGCGCGAAGCGGTCGACTGGGTTGGTGCGCACACCAAAGAGCGCGACGTAGCCGACAA